ACTACTGCTACTACTACTACTACTACTACTACTACTGCTAGTACTACTGCTACTGCTACGGCTAATCCTACTACTACTGCTGCTGCTACTACTACTACTACTACTACTGCTGCTACTGCTACTGCTATTGCTACGGCTACTGCTACTGCTACTCTTACTGCAACTTCTACTACTACTGTTACTACTTCTTCTTCTTCGTGTACTTGCTACTACTTACTACTACAACTACTGGCTGATACCTGCCACCAAGACTGGTCAGTCAATCACTGTCTTCTTCTGGCCGACCGGGGGCAGCGGAAGATGAATTTGGGCGGCACCTGAAAGGAAACCTTGGCTTGCTCGTGCCGGTGAGAAAGGTCCAGCGCCTGCAGCGGAGTGGCTCACATCCCAGAGAACCCAAAACCCCTTAATTAAGGAATATACCTTAAATCATCATGTTAAGGCCCCTATAATTTAAGGTATATTCCTTAATTAAGGGGTGTTGGGTTCTCTGAGATTCGTCAAGTCACTTCAGTTTGACGTTCTCGAGCCAGCGCCCACGCGCACTCATGCTGTACTTGTGACTATTACCACTGCGATCACTATTTCCGTTGCTATTGCCATGACAACTTCTGTCGCTATGAGCAATCATGGCGACCACATTGGGGTTAGGTCTGCAATATAGTACGGCACCTTTATAAAAAGGACCCCAAAACGGACCCTAATTTAGAAAACTACCCTCTGAGAGTACCCCTTATAGAGCCCTTTAAGGAACCCCAACAGAAACCCTTTTCGATCCCTTTAAGGAACCCTAAAAGGGACCCCAATGTTTGGATTTCATTGCGACTTTGCCCCTCGGCCTCGGCGGCAAGGGACTCGGCCTTCGCCTCCAGGCGCTCCACCTGCAAAGTGGGCTTCTTCAACTCGTCTCGCGTGTTTAGAGGGCCGTAAGCTTGAGACTTTAGGAACTTTAGGATTTAAGGTCAGTTTAGAGTTTAGGGCTGAGGCTTGAGACTTTAGGAACTTTAGGAACGAAGGTCCTCCCATCTCCACTCCCGGCTGAGTCAAAGCGACCTTCGGGCTGGGATGTTGAGGTCGGGCCCCGGGCCTATAAAAAACCGAAACCCTAAACCCTACACCGGAAAGGCTGTACTTCCTTTAGGGTTTAGGTTTAGGGTTTAGGGTTTAGGGTTTAGGGTTGAGGCCAGTCAGCCAGATGGTGGAGCTCTTCGGGTCCCCAAGCTGCTGTTCAAAATGCCCAAAATGCCTACCCCGGGCCCCGCCCTCATCCTTTTTGCTTCAGTCCTCTCTTCCCGCCACGGGAGATCCTAAGCAGGCGGCTCTCTCCCCCATTGCTGAACACGTTAGGTAAATATTGCACACATATATATATATACATACATATATGTTCATATATATATATACATATGTATATATAGATATAAGTCTTTAGAGGTCATGGTGGGTGGAGGGAAACCGCGGGACATGGCTTCCCAAGCTGTTGTTGTGAAGCGAGGTGCCAAGACATCCAAACAGTACGCCGAGAACTTGAAAATCAAGAACGATCTACGTTATACAAAACTCCGTCTCCGAGCTGCCTTTGCAGATCGAGTCGAGACAAACACACATTGTGGGATGCCACTCATCGTGCTGCTCACTCGTGGAGCCAGGGCAGATTGTCGAAGCTGATATCCTGGTGTCGACACTCGCCATGGCTTGCTACAATTACAATCCCCAATGCACCTTCAACAACGCCGAGCTGAAGACGACGCACCGTAGCTAGAACCGCCTAACATGATGACCTCATCCTCATGCAGACGTCCACAACATTCGTAGCCAGCTTCTTTCCAAATGCAGTTCGGTCGCGATAACTCCACCGGCTCGTGGCAAGATAGGGTTGGTTGGAACACCCTGAACCTGAAGCAGCATGTGGAGGCGTAGATAGGCAATCGCATCAGCGTGCATGTTGGGGTTCTGCACGCAATACGGCAAGGAACGAGCTTGTCGTTGCAACCGACGGCGTGGGTCCACCACACGCCGCTGGGATAAGCTGGCTGGTTTTTGATGTGGCCACCTCGATAGCAGAACATGTGAACCAGGACTCCGCTCGGGAGACTTGCCAGCTAGCACGAACAAAGCTGCTTCAAGGCAAAGCTCAGCTGTAGGTGTTGGCAGGGAAGTCCGGGTTTCCGAGCACTGTGCTGCAGTCCTGGCGATGGTTGGAGATGGGATGGCAAACAAACCGGCACGGCACTGATATCTGAAGCAGCAAGGCACATAGCTTGCTTGTGATAGCTTCGCCCGATGATGTATGAGCTCTAGAGACCAAGATGCGACTACAGCTGAGCAAACATGACCCCGACGGATCTATATAAAACGAATACTTGTTGCGAACAGTTTGCGATCGATTTCTCTCGTGCTTCCCACATATGTGATCGGTTAACTGATCGTGCTGCAAAAATGGTGGAGAGGTGACCGGGACTGGTAAAGCGTTAATGCTCACACTCTGCTTCGTGGGGAAGTCAAGGCTTTTCCGCTGAGAATTGCCAGTGCAACATGACATGAGGCCTTTGTTCCAGACAGGGTTTGTGCGAGCCGCTCATGGTCCAAGTTGACTGTAGGAAAGGAGATCTTCAGAGACTTTCTCACCCTGATGGTTCGCAGTCATGGAAAGGCGTGCTCCTCGCTGGGCTGGTCAGCAGCGCCATAGCCGCAGGTCGCATCAATGCACTTCCACTCCTTGGGAGCCCCGAGCTAGTGCATGGCAAACGGGTTGGGTAATGGAGAACTTTGAAGGATCAGCTGCCAGTGCTTCAGAATGAAACACAGCAGCAGCTTTGCCAAGCTTCATCCATGGCCCAGCAGTAGGTCTCTGCATTGTTTGCCTAAGTCCCCATGAAAGACCGAACGGATGCCCAGAGCTGCACTGATCCTGTCGACAGAGCTTTTGGACTCTTGGAGGTCTGGGTCTTGCTGCCAAATGCGGCCTGCATGTATGACCGTCAGTGCATCTCAAAAGTAGCTGACCGGCCTACATTTCCTGGGTTGGCGGGGATGGTGCAGCATGTCAGTGCCATGGCTGGGGCTGCACTTGTTTACCGTGGGAATTCCAGGACAGCCAAACAAACGAACGTGGCAAAGGAGCATAGAGCCAGCCGCAATAGCTCTCCGAGGTCTCATAGCTTTTAGCATACCACTGACGACAGCGGTGCTGACCTCTGCAAGATGATAAGGAAGTGTGAGTACCCAGGCCCAGCCTAGAGAGCAGAAAAACGGTGCTTTAACAAGAAAACACCAGATCGATCGAGCGACCGCAGGGGTTGTCGGCCAGGGATCCGGGGCATCCAGTGTAGCAAGCATCCTGAACAGGCTCGATTGTAGATACTTCGCAGCTTGGGCCCCTCTGCAGATTGCCTATTTCGTCCAATACACTATTGGCACCTTTATGCACAGGCATCGGGGTTTCTGTTTGAAATGCGTTGCAGATCACCTGAAGTATTTGGGAACTCTCGCAGCATTGTCATCCTGAAGTGCTGACAGCTGAGCCTGATTGAATGCTGCAACCCAGTAACTCAGTACCAACGCCGGGCAAAAGGCTCCAATAAGCTTGACCTCTGACGGCCAAGCGTCCGTATTGCAGCTTGGGTCGTCCGGCGAGAAAACGGGGCAGTTGCATTCGCCATAGACGTGCCTTACAGCGTGTGGACAGCACCACTTCTCAAAGATGATGACCATCAAATACCATCCACAACATCATCAGCATTAACATCCTATTCTTCGTCATCCCAGCATCACCCTCGTGAGTCTGATCACCCTCAACATCACCACAATTACCCTCACTGCAACCATCGTCACCAACGTCAACATCGCAACCGCCATCAGCACTACAGTCCCTATCATGTTCTGGTTTAGGCGACTTCTTCACTTTGCTATTACTATGATCTACAACAGCATCGTCATCACCGTTGTCGTCATCGTCATCATCGCCTTATGAGCACTATCAGCGCCAATCTTCATCAACACCATCACGTCATCATCATCATCATCATCATCACCATCAGTATCACCGTCACCATCAATATTACCATCAGTATCACCATCACCATCAATATTACCATCATCATCACCACCATCAACGTCATCATCATCATCATACCATTATCGTCTGCAGCAGCATCTCCATCATCGTCTGCATGATCACCACCTCAACTTCCTCGTTCCTCTCCTCATAATCATCATCTTCTTCTACTTCATCACAACAGCATCGACAGTACAGACTTCACCCGGTCGTGAACGTCACGATCATCATCAACGTCATGACAACCTTTGTCAAATTGTCGTCAGCTGCCGCCTTCCTTTCAGTGCTGCGTCATGGTTTTCAGCACCATTTCATGCGATAGGCTCTGGGAAGTCGGATCCGCCTGACATCATCTACGGACAAATGAGGTGCTTGTCAGCCAGAACTGTAGGGAAGCCAATGCCAGGCGCAGGCTGGATCTTCAAGAGAGATCCGGTGAATTTGCCAGGCAAGGCAACCACATCCTCAGCGCATCTTTGGCATTTGGCCGCCAGAAGCCCGCTCAAGTCATGTTCCCATGCAGACGAAGACCAAGACGTCTGCTGTTCTAAACGACTGGCATCCGCTGGCCAAGCAGGTCGTCTTGTTTTGGCCCAGCAGCGGTCTTCTTTCCACTGCCATCTGTGTAATTCATGGTGACACCTCCAGACACTCCTTCCACCGAGGTGAGATCCCAGGACACGACAGTGGTAATCCTTGGAACCATGTCGGGAAGAACGAATTCTGAGTTCTTCCCTATCGCTTCCTCGAATCTCTGCAGCTCCAAGATTCGTGAACTCGACTTGGCTCTGGTATTGAGGTCCCATGGACAGCCTTAGAATTTTACCGGATGGACACTGTGAGACCGACGGTCAAACCGTTCTGGAAATGCATCTTGCAAATGGCTGCATGAAGCTACACGTCCACTAATCCTGTGTTGGATCCCGATACACTGCGCTGTGCAGCAAGCCTTTCCAAGCTGGCTTTGACACTCGCAGTTCACCCTCAAGGTTTAAGACGAATCCGCTCACTCTTGGGCGGCAAGGGGCGAGTGCTGCTGATTCGATGCTATATCCTGGAACCAGCATGTGCCGGAAGGCCAGTTTCCACCTTCACCGAAGAAGAGATCGATCCTTAGCTGAACCACGTGCAAGAAGGTTGAATCTGCGGGATCGGTGACCGCAAGTGTTCCACTCTCACGCGCAAGAACTGTAGTGCATCCTGCGCGCAGCGCCGCCTGAAACACAGGCAACATCCCTGGCATGATGTACCTGCGGAACTCCCGTAGACCTTCCTCTTTAGATTTCTCTTCCTGTGTCAGTTGATGTCAGTTGCCAAGCTTCGCCATCTGCTCCGAAGGCAGCCAAGAAAGTCGGCCGATGCAAAGGAGCACCGTGAGGTGCGTTAGAAGGGTTACTAAGGGTTGCTACAAAACCTCGGACATCTACATTGAGAAGCTCAGTTACCTGGACTGGAAGCCGACCCCATCAACACAACGGAGGCGTGGCTTCCTTGCGTCCAAGGCTCGACTCGCCCTTCTTGAGGCCCATGCACAGGGTCGTCAGATCTGGGACCTTTTCGACACCGGGGCTGTCTTCGTGTCTTTAGGTTACAGAAGGGTCTTTCTTGGCCAAAGTGCACCACTTCCATACTGGTCGTTCCCAGTTCCCTGCACCAGGACATGGTCACAGCCCTTTGCATTGCCGTGCTATGTAGGATGAGTAGCTTCGTAGAAGCCAACAGACTGTGGAGAGATACGGGCTCCATCAGACTCTAACCAGTAGCGGCAAGCAAAGCTTTGTTGCAGCTATCATTCAAGACATGCGCTCTTACTGCAAGACCGTCGGTTTCCCCAGAGCAGGCAGCCTCGGAGCAATCCACAGGTGAATTTTGGACGCTTTGGGTCAAAGCCGCATCCAGATAGACCGTGCCTTGCAGCAAAGTGCAGAGCCGCTATCCACTTGCAACATCTTGTAAGACACACACAGAGACAGACGTTCTGGACACTTGCCATACTGTGGCGCCATTGCGGATGGGGCACTCAGAGCGTCTGGCGGACCACGGCAGAACACCACGCCATCAGACCACTCCTTGTTGACGATACGCATCGTCAAAGATGCCTGAAGTGCAAGAAGACATCTGAGCCTTCGAAGACAGAAGCCTGGCAACTCGCTTCTTGCATCTCGGAGGCGGCGGTATCGGGTGAAGGAGAGGGGGCAGGAGCTGGAGCTGGAGGAACCGTCCTTCGCCTCGATACCGGGATTGGGGCCGTGGTGGCACCTGTGCAGTCCTCCACTTTCACCGGGTTGCCGCCTCAACTCCGAGCGACTGCTCTTGGCTGCCAGAACTCGGCGCTAGAACTTCGGACCAGTCTGTGAAGCGTGCTTCCACTGGTAGCCAAGTCGCAGCCATGGAAATCCGGAGCAGCAGATGGGCAAATTTCCGAGGGACCACCGGGTTGAACTGGGGGGCAGCATTGGTTTCCAGCCTTGCGCTGCGCTGCGTGTTGTAATTCTGGCTCTTGCTGGCTTGCTTCAAGCCGTGGAGAGAAGGATGCTTCTGTCTCTTTCAGTCTCTTCTTCAATGGAGGGTCGACGACAGTCTCCCCCCGTTTCAGTCTCTCTGTCTGTCTGTCTGTC